AGCCTGCAATCTGCACCCCCAGGGCCCCCAGCCCGCTCCGGCGCAGGGCCCATTACACGGCTATTTGGTCACCCTGAAGGCATCTGCCAGCGCACCATTACCTGCCCATTCCAGCAGGCCCACCCGATAGCCATCTTCCTTGGTCATGGTTGACTAAAGTCCCCCTACTCGCATGTCCCCCCCACTTTCCTGCCAAGCCAAGCCCAGTCCCAGTCACCAGCTGGAGGACCCAGTCAAGTCCCTCCCCTGCCTTACTGGGGCCAGCATCCCCCCTTCTCATGGGGCTGGGGGGGAAAAGGGGTCACAGCAGGTCCCCAGCGCAGCTCAGAGCCCAGCAGCTCCTGGTCAATGGAGCTGCACAGCTTTTATCGGTTTCTAACCCCAGGTGGGTACAGCTGTTCCTGCTCAAGTATTCCTTCTCCTCCGGGTTCAAGAGCGAAGGAGAGCTCAGGAATGGGGAGGGGGGGGGGGAAAGTTTCCTAATAAACAAACCCTCAGGGAAGGCTTATCTCGGGCAAGGCAGTGGAAGGAACAAGATCTCAAGGTTCCTCGTAAAAGAGCACGTGGTTGCTCTCCCCATCCCACCGCACAAGGACATGGCCCCAAGGAAGCTGAGAGCAGAGTTGGGATGCTGACAGTGGGTTTGCTGTGCCCCAACCAGTTTTCCAGCCACGCTGGTGTGGCTGTGAGCTCCAGTTTGATGCGCTGCTGGGGTCAACAGCAACGGGGGACAGCGCGGGGGCTGCACAGGCACCCTGGGACGCAGGGATGGCGACACGGTTTGCGGGGAAGGGTGGCAGGACGCCAAGTCAGGCTGCTTCTTGTGAGCAGGGCAGCCCCAGGCATGAGGTGGGAACATCCCACAGACCCCGCAAACGTGCTGTGTCCCCAGATTGCCCTGGCTTGGTGGCAAAGGGCCAGCAGCAAATCTTGGGGCTGGATCCCATGCTGGAACAGGACAGTCATGCAGAGGGATGGTCCCCAGGCTGCGTGGAGGATGGCAGGGGCTGCAGTGGGCATCGCCTCCTCCTGCCACACCCCAGCCTGG